ATCCCAATTGCAAGGATTGATGCTAATGATGTCAATCACTGGATTGTGTGGTCCAGACTCGATTACTAACAGACTGCCTTCATATAACTGGAATATTGCTGGGTGCGGCGTGAAACAACAAACAAACAAACATCTGAATTTGGGGATTTTATAGCGTTGTGCATTTTACCTTTGACTCCAAAGGTTCGCAATTTGAACCATGTAAATCTCTTTTTACTGTGTCGAAAGCTTTTTTAAACTCACAAAAGATGACTGTTTTTTTTGTGTGTGTGTTTTGAATCAGTGTGTACACATTGAACATGTAGGTGATCTACACAATTCCTTTCTTTTCGGAATCCATTTTGTTCATCTGCTAAAACTGAATTCCTTTCACACCAGGTGGTGGAACGTCGCTATATAAGTGCAATAATCTTGGACGCGACGTTAAACCCAATTTCACCTCACCTCACACCAGGTGGATAATATTACTTTTAATATCTTGGCCTATATTTGACAGGGATGGAGATGAGTGTAATACCTCTAGTGGGTTAAAAGGTCACTCACACCAGCTTTAAGTACTGGATTAACAACGCCATTATTCCAACATCATTGAAACAATATATGATGAGTTAAAACAGCAAATCAACACAAGTTTCTGCTCAGATATTATTGATTCCTGGTACTTTACCACACTTTGCGTTAAAAACTGCCTTTTCCAATTTGATCTCGCTATTTGCGTGTTTAGCATGGAACAATCTGAGTTTTTAAACCATACTGATTGTTATCAATACTTAGAGCATCATGTATGTTAGCGGTAATGCCATTATACAAGTTATCATAAATACATTTCCATCTTGATAAAACCTATCTTGTTCACAACCAATAATTCCAGAGTTCTCCACTCGGTATATGTTTGTGTCTTTTAGTCACTAGTCCCAGTTCCCAATTTTCGTCCAAATATCTTTATTCTTGTGTTCACTATCAAGTGCATTGAGGTCATCTTGTTTTCTAAGAGCATACATATGCTTTTCCTTACAATTTAGTTCGTCCAAACAGGCTCTGGATTTTTATATAACTTTCTCCGGTCTCCTTTACTCACATTTCGATCGTTACATTTCAACCATACCCAACAGCGGGTATCTGGGTAGGTTTGGGTAGTAGTGGGTTGAATACCCGTATAGTAAATTTGGACTAGCTCTACTTTATATCTTGAATGTTTCTTGTTTTGGGGGTATTTTTACCTTTTAACTTCCTTTTTTTCATTTGTGTGTACAAAAGGTTTGTAAAACCCTATGCCTCATCAGCGATTTGTTTGTCATAATGGGCAGTTTCTATCATGTCTATCGATTCTAATAATAACTGCAATGATTCATCATTGAGAAAGTTATCAGGAACTCTTGTAAAATTACGGAGTAATGTTTCTTGTTTAGCTGACATATTTTGCTCTTTCAGAATCTGTGTGTGACAGGGGTAGTACTTTCGAGATTCGAATGGTGGGGAATCTTATTACAGCCATGCTTATTTGTAGCATTTATTACGTCTGTCATATTGTTGACATTAACTGGTTGTGAGGGACAACAACATCATCAACAACCACTGTACCTCTGTTAGGGACTGAAGTGAAATAATTCTCTCCTACTCTTACGTTAACCATATAATAACTGCAATCAACAGGAAAATCAATCAACGGGTTTGAATGAGTCTTCATCAACCCATGCTTGTGGTAAGAGGCGACTAACGGGATAGGGTGGTCAGGCTCACTTACTTGGTTGATGCATGTCATCGTATCCCAATAGAGTGGATCAATGATATCAATCACTTGATAGTCTGGTCCAGACTCAATTATGTACAGAACATCATCTTATAGCTGGAATATTGCTGAGTACAGTGTTAAAAACAAGCAAAGAAACCAACAAACTCAATCAACAGTTTGCCGTGGTAATATTTCCATCGCTAATTTTCTGATGCGGTACAATACTACATCATCCACACCTGCCACAAAGTCTGATTCTAAACCACACGGAGCAGTGGGATCAGCAGTCATATATTGTTCCATGAGATTTTGATAGGAGTACACCTGCACTACAAGTCTCTTTAAATACAGCTCGGGTCATGTGACCTTGTCGATTTTTCGGGCAGGAGATATGTGACACATGAGCAAAGGGTGCGGCCCATTTAACTTATCGATTTCAACCAATGAGTGTTGTCGTATATATGTCTAAGATAACATTGTTGAAATGTTATGAACAGCACGGCGAAACTGACCAGTCCTCGTTTTGTCCTTTTGTCAAGGGTTGTTCTATTTATTTCAAGCCATTTGTAATCAGGTAATCAGCATCTTCCTGAGGCAAGGGCGTATAGGCCCCACGTCAGCTGACTATAAAAGTCCACTACCCACCCTTGTCGAATTAGGCTGGAATTCCGGAGTTACATTTTGGCTGGACTAACGAGTCCATGCATTGTCCAATCAAAATCGTGTAATTAACTAGACATCTGGTTTGTAGGCAACATGGATTTCAACGTGCAGATTTCGGTCGACTGAAGGATTTGCAAAGCATGTGTATCGCAAACTGGGCTTCGACAGATATTTTGCAAATCTTTTCATGTTTTTTAACAAGGTGTCCAAGTGACCTGACACAGTTCGAGGGATAAGACCCGTTTTGTTGCAATCTTGATAATGGATTGATAGTGCCGCCATTTTGTTTGAAGTAAATGCAAGTGATATGAGAGATGGAATCTGATTGGTGAAGAGGATCGACATTGAAAAGACATAACTTGTCATATCCACTGGTGGCGCTAGGTTCGAGCCTGTAAATACCAGCCTTAAGTTCAACAAGGGTTGGAACTGGACTTAGTCAGGTAACACCCTTGCCTTGGGAAGATGATTAAACCTTTATTGTCTCTTTGTAATGTTTCACAAATATGTAGTGTATCAAATTACAGATAGTTAGCTGTGGTACGACTTTCAATTGAGAACTGTTCAGAGGTTTTGCATTTGTATTGTAAGACCAAATATAAGCTTTACAATCAAGTTTTTTAAACTTGACTTTTCATATGAATCTAATGTTGATTTTTTTTAAAAGTCACATTTTCGTTTTTCACATGAAAATTCCATGACCTGCACCCTCACATATCGTTTTAGGTTTTGTTACACTGTTTACCCACTGAGCCGAGACTATCCTTTTCACAGCGAAGCTACAGAGAACCCCAATTAAGTTGCTCTTGACTCTATTGCAGACTTGTACATGTCAGGGCTTCAGTGTAATTAGCTTTGAATTAGATGTTCATTCAGACAACTGTTGTCCCAAATTGGTCGCTATGACACAGTATTTAACAGTTCATGAATTGTTTAGCTTGTAATTCCCATCTGGGAATTTTTACTGACATTTGCTGCAGACTTGGGGTTGAATATCAGCCTCTGAGTAGGTCTAGATACATCCAGCAACAGCATCTATTGATCTGTTCCTCTATACATATCTCCTGTAACCATGGTAACCAGTTATTACAGATTTGTTTGAAATTATGACTGGCATCCACGGGACGTGCTCAACCACCATTTCCAGAGTGAACAGTTCATGACAATGGAAACAAGATCCCCCCAAAAAACCATGTACCCTGTGATTTAGCATGGTTAAGGTTAAAGAATTCACTGTACAGACTTGTCTCCCTTAGTTGTGCCAGGATCCTCTGTTTGTTGGATTTTCGCCCTTATTATGATCCTTGGTCTGTCAGCTCCATGATTCCTGTCACGGCTTCCTGCTGCAACAGACTGCCTCCGTGGTCTAGAGGTAGAGCGTCCGCCCGGAGAGCGGAAGGCCCGGGGTTCGATCCCCGGCTGCGTCATACTAAAAGACGTTAAAAGATGGTACTTGTTGTTACCCGGTCTGGCGCTCGGCATTAAGGGGCTAAAACAAGGACTGATCGGCTCGGAGTCAGTATACTGTGTCTGAGTGGGGTATTCATGTTAAACTGCGGCATGGTATCTCAGTGAGCTAGCACTATAAATCGGCATCAGTCCGGACTAGTACAAGCAGCCACACAAACCCACACACGTACATGCGCGTTGTATATAAGTGCAATAATCTTGGACGTGACATTAAACCCCACTTCACCTCACCTACTGCTGCAACATCAAGCTGACACACCATGATAGAACTCACCTACTGTTCAATCTGTTATTAAAGCAAAAGTCTTTGAGTTTGTCACTCTTGGTTGAGATCAGACCTTTTACTCCCGTACATTCCCTCCCTAGATGAAGTACTGACAACATCTCCATAGGAGGTTGCGTCAGGTGAACTTTCTAATCAGCCAATCATATTTGAGGCTTCTAGGTTCCTGGTACAAGTGAGCGAAGCATTTAGACCAGCATATCTGATGTCTATATCTCAATGATGAAGTTAAGCAATAAGTTCTGAATGTAAATAAAAAAGCCAGGACCTTTAGATTGTTGACGATATATTGTACACCTTGTTGTTTTTGAGTACAATGGCATCTACTCCTCAAAGGGTACCATAGAAGGAACATTTGTGTTCTCAAAAGATCTTCGGACATTAAAAGCAAAATTTCCGATTGAAAATGGAGAAGAAATGAAACTGAATCATGAAATGCTGACATTTAATTGGTTAAAGAATCCCCATATCCTTCATTTGGATTGGTTGGTCAAAGTGAACTCAGGATTTGCCTGACGCTACCTTCTATGAGCCCTGTGAAGGTCCGGGGGTAGAATAGGTCTTCAGCAACACATGCTTGTCGTATAAGGCAACTATGCTTGTTGTAGGAGGCGACTAACAGGATCTGGTGGACAGACTCGCTGACTTCGTTGATGCATGTCATCATATCCAAATTGCGTAGATCGATGCTCATGATATCAATCACTGGATTGTCTTGTCCAGACTTGATTATTTAGAGACAACCAAACAAACCTTCTGTGAACAAGTTGTCTGTCAGATATTTTGTCCAAGCAGAAGGTTTGGTATCGAGACCATGGTGACAGTGTAGAATTTACTGCCTTCACTTTCCAGTACAAGGTGACCCAAAAGATGGGTACTAGCAGCAGCGTGAGTAGTTCCCGCCCCGCCTCCAGTCGAGGTGATGCTGGGAGGAGGACGAGGTCCCCTACGGCCACTAGCCCAAACAGACCTGCGGTCACTTCACAGAACAGCCAGGTGGCCAAAGACGTCATGATCAGCTACAGCCATGCTGACAAGGAGATGATGGCCAACGTCAAAGGTAGGACGTTTTGAAGGTCGTTTTGAAAGTCGGTCTTCTTTCTGTACATTGTCAGCACTGCAAAATGAAAACAAAAAAATGAGTCAATTCCAACTGTTAAATTAAAAGCCTTAAGAATTTAGTTTCTTGTTTTATTAATTTTCGTGATGCCAGGTTGCTGGAGTCAAAAACAAATGCCAAGGTTGATTTCATAATTGTTAAAAGTATTTTGTTATGATACGGTCAACCCGTGAATATCCGGGGTAGAATAGGTCTTCATCAACCCATGCTTGCTGTGAAAGGCGACTATGCTCACTGACTTGGTTGATACATGTCACCGATCCCAATTGCGTGGATCGATGCTCATGATGTCAATCACTGGATTGTCTGGACTCGATTATTTTACAGACCGCCGTCATATAGCTGGAATATTGCTGAGTGCGGCATTAAACAACGAACAAACAAACAATTAGGCCAAGTCATCGGTAGATATGGAAAGAAAGGTCATGTCTCTTTCTGGACCACTGGTAATGTCATATTTTGAAGTTACAAAAAACTTAGTGATATTGGTGTGAAATTCCTATTTCTCTTTTTTCCTTACACTTGCAAGTTTTCCACTGGCTCAAAAAGGGCATCTATACTACTCCGTCCTTTGTTGACTCAGAATATCAGTTTAGTTTATGCTTTCACGTGGTTGAGCAGATGTACTGGAATCTAATGGGGTCAGCGTATGGGTAGACGTTGTCGGCCTCAACGCTGGTGTGGACTTTCTCAGCAAGATTGGACAAGCCATCATTGATGCCAAGGTAAACATTTTAATGACTTAAGGTGATTTCTTTTTCAGTTTTTTTTCTTGCAATGTTGGTGGCCGAAAAAACAATTGTCTTCATATGACCTTGTCTCATTTTGGGTGACCTTGGTGTTAGAGGACATATGGGTAGGATTCTGATCCAACATCATTCTTCCAACTTCCTCAGTTTTTAAACAGCGATAACCCGTGTGCAGTGTGTTGAAGGTGCAGGTAACCAGTTTTAGTGGCTGACAGGTTAATGGTGTCCTTTCATTGTGACGTCATGGCAACCGATGATGTCACAATAGTCTGCAAAGCATTGTGATGCAATTTCATTGCAGTGTTATCTAGGAGATATCACTTGATTTCACCCACCATCTATATGACAGTGACCTGTGAATAATCGAGTCTGGACCAGACAATCCAGTGACTGATATTATGAGCAACGTCCCTCCCCATCAGGATATGGTGACATGCAATCAACCAAGAGACAGAGCCTGACCAACTGCTCAATGTTGTCACCTTGTATGACCAGCGCAGGTTGCTAGAGACCTCGTCTTGCCTGGAATCCCCACCGATTTCACTTACATTGAACTGGGGACTTTTCCAAAACTCAGATCAGGCTCATCTGCTGAAGTAAAATATATTGGTTGGCCCGCGCAATATTGTCAGTTTCTGTGATGCCAGGCCTGGTTTTTTTTTTGTTTCTGTAATTTTTTTATATAATTGACTCCTTTTGTGAGTTATTTGGGTCAGAAGGATGAGAATATCATAAATTTTCAATTAGCTATTTTCCTTTTGGCATTTTTGCGAAATGTGACAGGAATTTTAACAAGGTAACAATATTCACAGTGTCATGGGAACAAGGCAACGCTGCGTGAAGGACCTGATTTCTGAGTAATATTTCAGCAAACAATTTCTGGAATAATATTTTTGTCACATTCCTGATTTCCATTGTCTGTTGATATTTAAACAAAGGAATCTTAAGACACCTCTGCTGTTTCTATTAATTTGTAACCAAGTCATGGGAAGACAACTCCACTATGTCTGTTAACGTGTAAACCAAATCATGGGAAGACAACTCCGTTGTGTCCCTGTTTCAGCTCTTCATCCAGCTGCTCAGCAAGAACTGTGTCAAGTCCAAGTACTGCCAAGATGAGCTGGCGCTGGCCTACGTCTCCAACACTGCCATCTTCCCCATCACTCTGACCAAACCCAAGGAACTGTACCCACATATGGACACCGGCATGTATGTTTCCACATATTGAAATACAGGATTTGTTCATTCCAGTCTGGACTTTTTGCCATTAGTCCAAAGTCTGAGTCTCACTGATTGTGTTGCAGTGACGGTGTCTGTGTAGCAGTTAAAGAGTCTTGTGTGGTGCCTTTGATGTACAGCCTCACTTTTTCCAAGAAGACACCGGAACTTTTCCCTGTTCATTCTTAGATAGTTGACTATTGCACTGGAAACTTCTCTATCAGACTCTTGGAGAAGGGTATTGAAGGCACTAAGCTTTTGTGCTTACTCTGCAGCCAATAACAGGGTGCCGTTGTACAGAGCGATCTTAGCGATAAGGTGATCGTAACGCCTATTACTTAACATGGACTTATGACGGTGGTAGTTCAAAGGTTGTTTTGTACAACAGCACCCTCGACCATATATTCGTTTGCCTCCCTGGATGCTGTCTTCTCAACAATACACACAATACTAATAACAGCAAAACATTCTTCCTCAGCAGCATCCATCTTGGCAAGATAATTCCCGCCACCATTTTCAACAATCTGTCAAGTCTTTGATAAATGTTTTTGATAGTGTATTGAGGACTTGAGGTGCATTGATAGTGACTGTGTTGCAGTGACGGTGACTGTGTTGCAGTGACGGTGACCCTTGTGTTGCAGTGACAGTGACAGTAACCCTTGTGTTGCAGTGACGGTAACTGTGTTGCAGTGACGGTGACTGTGTTGCAGTGACGGTAACCCTTGTGTTGCAGTGACAGTAACTGTGTTGCAGTGACGGTGACTGTGTTGCAGTGACCGTGACCCTTGTGTTGCAGTGACGGTGACCCTTGTGTTGCAGTGACGGTGACCCTTGTGTTGCAGTGACGGTGGCCCTTGTGTTGCAGTGATGGTGACCCTTGTGTTGCAGTGACGGTGACCCTTGTGTTGCAGTGACAATGACCCAGTGAAGGTGACCCTTGTGTTGCAGTGACGGTGACCCAGTGACGGTGACCCTTGTGTTGCAGTGACAGTGACCCTTGTATGGCAGTGACGGTGACTCTTGTGTTGCAGTGACGGTGACCCAGTGATGGTGACCCTTGTGTTGCAGTGACAGTGACCCTTGTGTTGCAGTGACGGTGACCCAGTGACGGTAACCCTTGTGTTTCAGTGACGGTGACCCAGTGACGGTGACCCTTGTGTTGCAGTGACAGTAACTGTTTTGCAATGACGGTGACCCTTGTGTTGCAGTGATGGTGACTGTGTTGCAGTGACAGTGACTGTGTTGTTGAACGGTGACCCTTGTGTTGCAGTGACGGTGACCCTTGTGTTGCAGTGATGGTGACTGTGTTGCAGTGACGGTGACCCTTGTGTTGCAGTGACAGTGACCCTTGTGTTGCAGTGACAGTGACCCTTGTTTTGCAGTGACGATGTCTGTGTTGCAGTGACGGTGACCCTTGTGTTGCAGTGACAGTAACCCTTATGTTGCAGTGATGGTGACTGTGTTACAGTGACGGTGACCCTTGTGTTGCAGTGACAGTGACCCTTGTGTTGCAGTGACAGTGACCCTTGTTTTGCAGTGACGATGTCTGTGTTGCAGTGACGGTGACCCTTGTGTTGCAGTGACAGTAACCCTTATGTTGCAGTGATGGTGACTGTGTTACAGTGACGGTGACCCTTGTGTTGCAGTGATGGTGACTCTTGTGTTGCAGTGATGGTGACTGTGTTGCATTGACGGTGACCCTTGTGTTGCAGTTATGGTGACTGTGTTGCAGTGACGGTGACCCTTGTGTTGCAGTTATGGTGACTGTGTTGCAGTGACGGTGACCCTTGTGTTACAGTGATGGTGACTGTGTTGCAGTGACGGTGACCCTTGTGTTGCAGTGACGGTGACTGTGTTGCAGTGATGGTGACCCTTGTGTTGCAGTGACGGTGACCCTTGTGTTGCAGTGACGGTGACCCTTGTGTTGCAGTGACGGTGACCCATGTGTTGCAGTGACGGTGACCCTTGTGTTGCAGTGATGGTGACTGTGTCGCAGTGACGGTGACCCTTGTGTTGCAGTGACGGTGACCCTTGTGTTGCAGTGACGGTGACCCTTGTGTTGCAGTGACGGTGACCCTTGTGTTGCAGTGACGGTGACCCTTGTGTTGCAGTGACGGTGACCCTTGTGTTGCAGTGATGGTGACTGTGTCGCAGTGACGATGACCCTTGTGTTACAGTGACGGTGACCCTTGTGTTGCATTGACGGTGACCCATGTGTTGCAGTGACGGTGTCCCTTGTGTTGCAGTGACGGTGACCCTTGTGTTGCAGTGACGGTGACCCTTGTGTTGCAGTGACGGTGACCCTTGTGTTGCAGTGATGGTGACTGTGTTGCAGTGACGGTGACCCTTGTGTTGCAGTGACAGTGACCCTTGTGTTGCAGTGACTGTGACCCTTGTGTTGCAGTGACGGTGACCCTTGTGTTGCAGTGATGGTGACTGTGTCGCAGTGACGGTGACTGTGTCGCAGTGATGGTGACCCAGTGATGGTGACTGTGTTGCAGTGACGGTGACTGTGTTACAGTTTCGGTGACTGTGTTGCAGTGACCCTTGTGTTGCAGTGACGGTGACTGTGTCGCAGTGACGGTGACCCAGTGATGGTGACTGTGTTGCAGTGACGGTGACTGTGTTACAGTTTCGAAGACCCTTGTGTTGCAGTGACGGTGACTGTGTCACAGTGACAGTGACCCAGTGATGGTGACTGTGTTGCAGTGACGGTGACTGAGTTACAGTTTCAGTGACCCTTGTGTTGCAGTGACGGTGACCCTTGTGTTGCAGTGACGGTGACTGTGTCGCAGTGACGGTGACCCAGTGATGGTGACTGTGTTGCAGTGATGGTGACTGTGTTGCAGTGACGGTGACTGTGTTACAGTGACGGTGACTGTGTTGCAGTGACAGTGGCTGTGTTGCAGTGATGGTGACCCTTGTGTTACAGTGACAGTGACTGTGTTACAGTGATGGTGACCCTTGTGTTACAGGAAGCTCCAGCTGGCTGGCTATCAGTGGGTGGAGATATGGGAAGAAGGCACATTTGACACCAAGATGGCGGAACTCATCCCCATGCTGAAGGAGGCCCTGGATGAGAAGGACAAGGATGCAGAGACCGAGAAGAAAGATAGCTCTAAAGGTACATCAGTCTCCTCATTGTATGTCATCCCTGATTATCCACTCTACCGTTTCACTCTTGTACAGTGATCCCTCGCTACAACGCTACCTTCGGGGTCCAAATAATTGATAAGCGTTATAGATGATCAGCAGTTTAACAAAGGCTGAGTCGTAGGTGGTAGATGGCCAACAAAACAGTGTATATGCTCTGCCTATCTAACATGATCTACGTTGCACGTTTCAGAGTTTAAAAAAAGATGAGAATTCAAGTTGTTTATGATTCATAGTGAAAAAAAAAGATTTATCGAGTATATATTTGCACTTTAAAAAAATCACATTGTATCCCTTCAGCAAATTCAGGTGAATAATAACATTTGTGACGATTCCGGGGTAGAACAGGTCTTCAGCAACCCATGCTTGCCGTAAAAGGTGACTATGCTTGTCGTAAAAGGCGACTAACGGGATCAGGTGGTCAGGCTCACTGACTTGGTTGATGCATGTCATCGATCCCAATTGCGTGGATGGATGCTTATGATGTCAATCACAGGATTGTCTGGTCCAGACTCGATTATTTACAGACCGCTGTCATATAGCTGGAATATTGCTGAGTGCGGCGTTAAACAACAAACCAACCAACCAACCAAATCAGGTGAATAAACAGGTATAACAAACTTGGTGAATAAAAGTATTAAATTTGACATAAAACATCATTAGACATGATGATTTACCGTTCCAATTGTATTTCCTGCCCTCCAAGGCATTGTTTTTTATGCAGAGACTAAGATTACTGTGTGTATTTTCTTGTAAACTAAGCCAGAAATAGCAATCAGCTGTGCACACGTTTCCTCCCAATCTACTGGTGATTCAGTTAAAAAGCACCCAATGATACAGCTTCAAAGAATTTTTATGTAATTGTCGGAAGAAATTGTATATATATATATTTTAAATGATGAGAATCATAAGCATAGCACTTCGGTACAGGTGGTATGCAGGATATTTTTTTACGTATGGAACAATTTGACCAGTCATTGTAGGGACTTCCCGCGCTACATGTATTTCGCTCTTGCAAAAATGTTATATTGACATTTAATAGTCAAACTGCCTCAAATATGACTTTTAGTGAGTCATGGTACGGCATTTATGATATGATATTCTCTTGCAACCATAGTTTGTTTCAAGGGGTCAATAACGGTAATCTGACCGTGGTTGCTGCAAATAACAGTGAGTTGTGCGGTCAACCGATCACTTCGAATACGATTTCGAGGAAATGAATGTAAATTAACAATATTGGTATGGTATTTCTCATTGCGGATTGGCTACAAGAAGGGAATTCCAATACCAGTATATACAATCAATATTTATGTCTCATGAATATTTAGTAGGCTGGAATGTGCAGATTCCGGCTCAAGTTTTGTAAACATTATTAAAATTATTAAATGAAATTTTGAATGTAATTAATAAAATATATTGCAAACATAAGTCCAGATAATAAATGAACAATTTGTTTATAACCAGATATCATAATAATAGGGTAGCAGCTGATAATGTTTTCTGAGATGGGAGAAAACATCGTGTCATTGGAAAACTTGAGTTTATGTTAGTAAATTTTGGGAGCCATGCTTTACTCTGCGCTACAACCAAGTTTGTGCTATATTGAAGAGCCCAATAGCAGGGAACACTGTATCATAAATGCCATGGTCAAATTTGCCTCCATCCTACATTTTGGAAGAGTTGTTGCCGAGTCCTTCTCCATCTTCGAGTTCCCAAGTTAACTGACTATAAAAGTCCAGTTTCCACCCTGGCTGAACTAGGTTGGAATTTCCAGGCTCGATCCTAGCGCCACCTGTGGCTATAAGGAGTTATGTCCCTTCTATGTCCCACCTATTGACCAATCAGAATCCACCTCTCATATCGCTTGCATTTGCTGATCGATAATCAAAGAAAGATTTGCAAAATATCTGCCAACGCCCCTGCTTTGCAAATCCTTCAAATGCGATTTTGATTGAATTGTGCAAAGACTCGTTAGTCCAGCCTAAATGTAACCCTGGAATTCCAGCCTAGTTCCTCAAGGGTGGAAACTTGACTTTTATGGTCAGTTAACGCCCTTGCCTCAGGAAGATGCTCCTTCTCTCTTATCACCAACTTAGCACAGAATTCCTCTTGCTCATGACCTTGAAATCAACGACCAGTCAAAATGTGAGTTATGATTTAACCCAAATGACAGATGAGGGAAATCCAACCAATGGTTTGTCTAGACCATTGGCAGTCCTTGATTCATCATTCAAACTCAGCTTTGGTTATCTGCTATTATGTTGTCGGTTATTGACTGCCCTCACAATCCTAGTCAGTCTCCTAGGTTCACACAGGGCAGTACAAGGTCCAGACTGGACCGACAGTGGTCCTAGGTTCACACAGGGCAGTGCAAGGTCCAGACTGGACCGACAGTGGTCCTAGGTTCACACAGGGCAGTGCAAGGTCCAGACTGGACCGACAGTGGTCCTAGGTTCACACAGGGCAGTGCAAGGTCCAGACTGGACCGACAGTGGTCCTAGGTTCACACAGGGCAGTGCAAGGTCCAGACTGGACCGACAGTGGTCCTAGGTTCACACAGGGCAGTGCAAGGTCCAGACTGGACCGACAGTGGTCCTAGGTTCACACAGGGCAGTGCAAGGTCCAGACTGGACCGACAGTGGTCCTAGGTTCACACAGGGCAGTACAAGGTCCAGATTGGACTGACAGTGGTCTGCAGACCGTGGAGCGTGTCTACCTTCTAGTGCTGCTTTTGGCATTGAACACAATCGACTCACTCACTCAGTGTTATCAGTTGTCATCACATGGAGATGGTGTTATTGGTTACAGCTGACCTACAGCACGTTGTACGCAGCAAGCCCCAGACCAAGCCATCCCTCGGTATGACCTGCACCGTGTGTGTGTGTTGTTCATGTTAACAGGTGATGTGTCAAGGTGATGTGTCAAGGTGATGTGAACGGCCGATGAAATCAGCTGCACAGTGTCAGAGTTTGTGTCATGTTCTGGACGTTTGTGTGCATTTTTGTGTCATGTTCTGCATGTTTGTGTGAATCTTTGTGTTATTGTTCTGCATGTTTGTGAGCATGTTTGTGTTATGTTCGGGACGTTTGTGTGCATGTTTATGTGGTGTGTTTGTGGATATATTTGTGTGCGGGATGACATATTCTGTGGAAGTCAGTTTGTAGCATTACAATCTGAGGATAAATGGGATATACACAATTATGTGGTGTTGTTTTGCATATTGTGATGTTTGGATTTGGATACTTGGGTGGAATATGGCCACATAATTCTATACTTGCAACAAGATGGATACTGGGGTGGAATACGGCAACATAATTCTATACTTGCAACAAGATGGATACTGAGGTGGAATATGGCCACATAATTCTATACTTGCAACAAGATGGATACTGGGGTGGAATACGGCCACATAATCCTATACTTGCAACAAGATGGATACTGGGGTGGAATACGGCCACATAATTCTATACTTGCAACAAGATGGATACTGGGGTGGAATACAGCCACATAATCCTATACTTGCAACAAGATGGATACTGGGGTGGAATACGGCCACATAATTCTATACTTGCAACAAGATGGATACTGGGGTGGAATACGGCCACATAATCCTATACTTGCAACAAGATGGAAACTGATGTGGAATACGGCCACATAATCCTATACTTGCAACAAGATGGATACTGAAGTGGAATACGGCCACATAATCCTATACTTGCAACAAGATGGATACTGAGGTGGAATACGGCCACATAATCCTATACTTGCAACAAGATGGATACTGAAGTGGAATACGGCCACATAATCCTATACTTGCAACAAGATGGATACTGAGGTGGAATACGGCCACATAATCCTATACTTGCAACAAGATGGATACTGGGGTGGAATACGGCCACATAATCCTGTACTTGCAACAAGATGGATACTGATGTGGAATACGGCCACATAATCCTATACTTGCAACAAGATGGATACTGATGTGGAATACGGCCACATAATCCTATACTTGCAACAAGATGGATACTGATGTGGAATACGGCCACATAATTCTATACTTGCAACAAGATGGATACTGAGGTGGAATACGGCCACATAATCCTATACTTGCAACAAGATGGATACTGGGGTGGAATATGGCCACATAATTCTATACTTGCAACAAGATGGATACTGATGTGGAATACGGCCACATAATTCTATACTTGCAACAAGATGGATACTGAGGTGGAATACGGCCACATAATCCTATACTTGCAACAAGATGGATACTGATGTGGAATACGGCCACATAATCCTGTACTTGCAACAAGATGGATACTGGGGTGGAATACGGCCACATAATCCTATACTTGCAACAAGATGGATACTGATGTGGAATACGGCCCGGTCAGAATCAGTTATTATCCGCCACCACAAAGTGGAAGGGGGATATAGGAAATGGTGCTGACCGTCCATCTGTCACGTTTCGTTTTAGGAGCATGAGAGATAGCATAACCAAACTTGGCACATAGATAGGTCTAGTGGTAAACTAGCTGGTTCCTTTTGATAGTTTGAGATTTTTTATAATTTATTTTTCAACTGTGACTTTGACTGAAAATGTCCGTAGACTCATTCTCGTTATAGTGATGCCATTGATGACTCTGGATTTTATCTTGAAGTTGTGTGTTCACATTTCTGGTAGGTCTCGTCATTGAGGTAGCATTGTGTGAGTTCGGGTGAACGGGTAGCCCCGTGGTGCGTGTGTTCATTTACTCGAACCTCACCTACATTTGTGGAGTATATGCTTTTCTTACCTTTGGTTTCAGAAAAGAGGACAAAATGTAAGCCATTGTGAGTGGAGTGTTTGGTGGTGTAGTGCTAACATTTGCGTGATGATAACCCTGTGTTGTTGGGAGTGTATTGTTTATATCTTAAACTGTAGCAGTCTGCGACTTCAGCCACAAGTCCAAAGTGCAAGTGTAGAACAATTGTTTCTTAAAGCAAACACAGCTAATAATAGTGTAATAATAACACTAAAATCTGGCTTGACAACAGTATAAGGATCCATACCGAAATGTCGCCTTTACAGTAAGAAAGAAGTTGTTATCCATAAATTGTGTCTACTTTGTCATCTGTCAATTTCTAAACTACCTGTCCAAAAGTGTAACACTAAAATCTACAGAAAATGATGCTAAAATCCAACTTGTTTATGCACAGACTGTCATCTTGATTTAGTGAAGTCAGGATAAGAAGATGACATCTAGATACTTCAGGAAGAGAGGTCTCACAAGTGTCGCAGTTCCCTGTAATGGGTCTGATACATGATGTCTGTGATGAGGTCACAAGAGGTCAAATTATAAGATATGGTTTCCAATTTCACAGATTTCAGATTCATTGATGAAAGCTGTATTTTCAAATCACTTATGATAGATGCTCAATAATTAACAAAGTACCTGTCATAATTCATGGTTGTGTCAAATGTCATGAAACTGCTTGTAAATGTTGCATTGACAGTGCTTTACACTGACCAATATTTGTACCAAAAGGAAAACCAGCGCCAAAATGAAATTTCTGGTCCTGTTGGATCTCAACTAGACACAATGGTGCTTAGAGATAGACTCAATCTATCACAGATTTAAAAAGTCGTACAATCTTAAATTACTTTGTTCGTCCCCGAAATAACACTAGACCAACGGCCCACCATTTATTTAATTTTCACTGGTACTTTAGAAAGTATACTCTTCTAGAACCAGCGGACCAGTGTTGGTGTTCATTCAGAAAGTATTGTCAGTGTTGAATGGAGACGTCATAACATAACCACTCCTTTTGTAACAAGTCACGTTCTCCCAAGGTCAAGATCACTCAGTGTGAAGCAGACGTCCCAAAGAGTTTGTGTGCACAATATCTGGAACATTCATAAATGGAATATGATGAAATGTTATTCATATGATCTCAAGGTAGTTCATGGCTAAAACTGAAGTTCATGGTCATTGAACAGGAAGTGTGTCGATATAACTTTGTTGTTAAGGTAGCTAGGGGCACAGGACTTTCTGTTTCAAAGCTGTCTTGCCTTGCCTTAAACATCCAGCTGGATAGATGTTTGCCTCAGTATTAAGACAGGAGGAGGGAAATTCTTACGCTGCAAGATGTACCCCGTTGTATTTGAGACAGCTTGCAACTGTTGATGTCGTGGCTTGATTGGACGGAAATTTGTTTCCCAAACTGGAAGTGCATCACATTGGATTATCTGGTTTATTGCCTCTTGTGAGTCGTGTGTAGCTGCCACACTCAGGACTATTCCAGCCATGAGGAGGCCTGTAAGTAATCAAATCTGGACCAGACAATCCAGTGAAACAAGGAGTATCTTGAAGTAGAAGTGACATTGGGAGTCTAAAGCTGATTAAATGAAACTTTGTATAACCCATTGGAGCCATCACCCGTTTGGTTGGCTGGTTGGTCAAGACGAGGGCCTCACCACATGGATGTAGATACTAGGGCTGCGATGGGTAACTCGGGTACTCGGGTACTCGGGTCGGGCGGTTAATGAGTAGGACCCGGGTACCCACAGGGCTACATGGACGCGTGGTTAGTCATGTGATATATTGTTTAAAGACAAATAATATCTAGAACTCTGTTTTAACTACAAGTCACTAATGTTCGCTGTTCTTTCAGACTACTACCCCCATTCCTTCTGTTTGAATAAAAATAAAACTTCAGTCACCTTCAGTGTATACATCAGTACATACCACTTCAGTTTTATACATGTATCTACACACATTTTGCCATGACTACGGTCAAACCTTTCTCAATCAGACAGTTTGTACCTACCCCATGGGTACCCGGGTAGGGTCGGGTAATAGGAGGGTGGGTACCCTGGTAATAAATATGGACTCGTCCCAGCCCTAGTAGATACATATGTATTCAGAGTGACGGAGGAACGTAGTGTAGATAAACCCATGAAGAACTGACTTGTGGTGAATGTGGTTTCTTGACATGCGAAGGGGTCCATGATCAGTGCTCCACTGGCGTCAGTGTGTCAGAAATAACAGACACTGGCTGTACAACTAGTTTACTGACTTGTGGTGAATGTGGTTTCTTGACATGCGAAGGGGTCCAGGATCAGTGCTCCACTGGCGTCAGTGTGTCAGAAATAACAAACACTCGCTGTACAACTAGTTTACTGACTTGTGGTGAATGTGGTTTCTTGACATGCGAAGGGGTCCAGGATCAGTGCTCCACTGGCGTCAGTGTGTCAGAAATAACAAACACTCGTTGTACAACTAGTTTACTGACTTGTGGTGAATGTGGTTTCTTGACATGCGAAGGGGTCCAGGATCAGTGCTCCACTGGCGTCAGTGTGTGAGAAATAACAAACACTTGCTGTACAACTAGTTTACTGACTTGTGGTGAATGTGGTTTCTTGACATGCGAAGGGGTCCATGATCAGTGCTCCACTGGCGTCAGTGTGTCAGAAATAACAGACACTCGCTGTACAACTAGTTTACTGACTTGTGGTGAATGTGGTTTCTTGACATGCGAAGGGGTCCATGATCAGTGCTCCACTGGCGTCCGTGTGTCAGAACAACAAACACTCGCTGTACAACTAGTTTACTGACTTGTGGTGAATGTGGTTTCTTGACATGCGAAGGGGTCCAGGATCAGTGCTCCACTGGCGTCAGTGTGTCAGAAATAACAAACACTCGTTGTACAACTAGTTTACTGACTTGTGGTGAATGTGGTTTCTTGACATGCGAAGGGGTCCAGGATCAGTGCTCCACTGGCGTCAGTGTGTCAGAAATAACAAACACTCGCTGTACAACTAGTTTACTGACTTTCTAATTGTTGTATTAACACATTTCCTCAACTTGAAAATATTTATTAAAGTAATATGTTTAGTGTGTGTTGCTTGCTCTAGAAATTAAGATGTGTACATTTCTTGTTTGTGTTTTTTGTAAACATATATCATGATATATTATGCCTGTTCAGTTTTACTTCTTATTTTATGGATTTCCTTGTCAAGTACAGGGATAGAAGAAAACCATTTTGTACATTGACATGATTAATATCAAATGAATTTTTACTAAAATGCCTCTTGATTCTGTGGTTGTTTGTTATTTTGCTGGTGTACTTTAGGGACTGGTCATTTATTGCGGGTTTGGGCTGGGGTGTGTCAGAGGTTTTACAGGCACTGTGTACTGAAAATAATGGCCCTCCCTTAAATCCTGTCATATTTTAGATGACCCTCTCCATGTTCTTGTACATTTTTTCATGACCCACCCTTAAAAGACAAAATCAAATGCACCTTTATTCCATTAGAAAATGTCCATTTACCTCACGACCCTCCCTCTCCAAGTGACCGACATATTTTATGGTGAACCGCCCCTAGATTCACTCTCTCTTTCATTTCCTACTTTCCCCCCACCACCCACAGTAAACATATTAAGTGACAGGTCACTAAGTTTCTGGGTTTTTTTCCAGGTTTATCCATAAATCAAGAACATAAAGTTTCAGATTCAATATTGTGATGTGCATGTTTGTAAAACTTCTTGAAACGGTAATTAGTATCATGTATCACAATTTATGTGAACACTGTTGTTGTTTTGAATATAACATATAAACTGTTGTCTCTGAAGCCAAACAATTTCATTTTCTGCTAAAGCCTTTCAAGTATGATATTCTGTGTCTAAATTCTTAGGCAGAGTTGCCTCCCTTAGGCATGCAAGGAAAAGGTGATAATTGATTCATGTCTCAGGCTCGCCCTGATTATGTTTGTAGGTTTGTCCTAAGTGATACAGGTCTTAGACATCTAGCACTGTAATAAAACCCACAAATACAGTGCTAGATGTCTAAGACCTGCATCACTTAGGATGTTTCTCCCACATCAAGCTGACACACTGTGATATAAATGAAATACTGTTTGAAACGGTTAAACTTCACTCACTCACTCACTCACACACTCACTCACTCACTCACTCACTCACTCACTCACTCACTCACTCACTCACTCACTCACTGAAGTTTCTTTGTCCTGCAGATCAACGACAGAAGTTAACACGTTAACAGACTCGTCAGAATCTGCATCGGAAGAAGACATCTAGCACTGTAATAAAACCCACAAATACAGTGCTAGATGTCTAAGACCTGCATCACTTAGGATGTTTCTCCCACATCAAGCTGACACACTGTGATATAAATGAAATACTGTTTGAGACGGTTAAACTTCACTCACTCACTCACTCACTCACTCACTCACTCACTCACTCACTCACTGAGGTTTCTTTGTCCTGCAGATCAACGACCGAAGTTAACACGACAACAGACTCGTCAGAATCTGCATCGGAAGAAAGCTAAGAATGAGCGGGTCAGCAGATCTGACGAGATATTGAACTTGATGCCCGACGACTACTGGAAGAAGTTCTATGTAGGGGACAATGTGGCTTGGAACAAGTAGGTCCACACACTGGCAACACCATGACTGTTGTCATGAGGCCAGACCAAATTCATTTCTTCAAATCTGTCTTCCCTGGTGTAGGGACCTCACAAAAATGTACTGTATTCACCGCATTAAGCGCCCTGCTCAAATAAGCGCCCCGCTCAAATAAGCGCCCTGCTAAAATAAGCGCCCCGCTCAAACAAGCGCCCCGCTCAAATAAGCGCCCCTCTCAAACAAGCACTCCCTGATCAACTTCTACATTAATCTATAAGTAATCCTTATAAGCACCCTCTACAATGCTCAAATATTTACATGAATGAGTGTCTTTTCTTGTGCATATTTCAGATTCTTGACAGAAAAATGCAGCAGTTTAGAGCGGGTATATAATTGTGTAGTAACTATCATTAAAAGGTTTGAGTGTCATTGACATTTGAACCAAGTTTGTTTTCTACCACTCCATTCTCGACAGTGCATTTACCTTGTGCATGGTTCCCCCCATTTTCTAAGCACCCAAGGTGCTTATTACAGCGAATACGGTAGCTGGAAATATAAAATGCAAGTAACAAATTAACAGCCATAGCAAACTGATGTTACACCCTAAATATACCTTAGTGAATCGTTAAACAAGAAATTAAATATTACTGAATGTATTCCATGTTCGGCCAGGTTTGTGGAGACCTTCATGTCGCTGTACAAGTGCCCCCTGGAGGAGATGTTCAGCAGCAACGACCAGACGTGGCTGGTCAGCATCCTGAGGAGGGAGATGGAGATTGATGACGACGGCATGCTCAGCAAAACCTCCTTAATAGGTGGGGAAACATCATCATTGTGGAAATGTACAAAACAAAGCTAGTTATGGTTGATAACTGGCCAAACAAGAATAGCTAATCTCTATGAATTCCTATGCAATTTTGAAATTTCATTTTATGAGACTTCTCCTAAAACAAACTTTGCAGGGTTAGAAATTATGTAATTTTTTCCCTTGACAAAGTTGTGTGGATAACAACTTCTTTATTTTCTGTAAAGGCGATGTTTCGGTATAGATCCTTACGCCGTTGTCAAGCATGGCTGAATAATGAACATGGTACAGAATATATATGGGAGGAGGGATATTAACAGTAACAAAAAAAAAGACCCGTGAAGATTCCGGGGTAGAATAGGTCTTCAGCAACCCATGCTTGCCGTAAAAGGCGACTATGCTTGTCGTAAAAGGCGACTAACGGGATCGGGTGGTCAGGCTCGCTGACTTGGTTGTTGCTTGTCATCAACCCAACTGCGTGGATCGATGCTCATGATGTCAATTTGACAGAAATCTCATTCTAGCAGGGCGTATATCATTTAGTTATTCACGTCCAATATGAAGCCTCCAGAAAGAGGACACATGCACATATTTAAAATATTTTTCATGGAACATTGGTAAATGAAACATACATTATCCGATTTAGGGAGCATAAATTACATTAAATTGGTCGTCTTTCCCATAATTTCAGTCTAAATTTCGGAATGAATTAAGTCCTGATTGCAGATTTAGCTTGATGGTAAATTATGACAGCAGCTTTGGGACTTATTTTGGCCCAGTACTGAGAGTTTTCTGCTGTTCATCTTTAATGCCAGATTTCTGTACTGTGGACGGGGAGGAGTTTCCCCTGTGGAAGCGGGTGGAGGAGCAGGCGAAGGAGAGCTACGCCATGAAGGAAGTGTTTGACATGGACTCCTCCGTCAGAGTGGAGGCCATAGAGAATCTGGGTAAGTCCTTGGTTAGAGTGGAGGCCATATAGAGAACCTGGGTAAGTCCTTGGTTAGAGTGGAGGCCATAGAGAACCTGGGTAAGTCCTTGGTTAGAGTGGAGGCCATAGAGAACCTGGGTAAGTCCTCAGTTAGAGTTGAAGCCACAGAGAACCTGGGTAAGTCCTTGGTTAGAGTGGAGGCCATAGAGAACCTGGGTTAGTCCTTGGAATAGAAGCCTACGTTGACCTAATTTCTCTTTCAGAATATATATCTAAAGAAATTTAGATACGTGTCAAAACTTAGATCGTGGACTTTTAAAACAAACTCCTGTAAGGAAGCTGTGAAGGTGTTTTCTCAAATCTGAGCTCTGTTGCTACTGCAGTTTGTTTTCTAAAGCACATGCTTATGACAGGCAAAGAAAACTAGGCAACTAGGCAAAGAAAACATTTGTGTATACTTGAGTAATAATAATTTCAATTTGTTGAAACTTGTATCTCAATCACATCACTTTTTTTAAGGTCAAGGTCACTAGAGGTCAACATGACTTTAATGACTGTTCTGATTTATACAAGAAGAATCAAAGCATTTTCCAGTTTCACGTGATCAGATCTCAGTAACTACCTCTACCTGTCATATATCATGGTTGTGTCAGATCTGTAAAGATCCGTTTTAGAAAAGGTCTTCAGCAACCCATGCTTGTCCCCCGTGAAGATCCGGGGTAGAAAAGGTCTTCAGCAACCCATGCTTGCTGTAAAGATCCGGGTGAGGATAGGTCTTCAGCAACCGTCAAAATCCGGGGGAGAACAGGTCTTCAGCAACCCATACTTGCCGTAAAGATCCGGGGTAGAATAGGTCTTCAGCAACCCATGAGTGTCCCCCGTGAAGATCCAGGGTAGAATAGGTCTTCAGCAACCCATGCTTGCCGTAAAGATCCGGGGTAGAATAGGTCTTCAGCAACCCATGCTTGCTGTAAAGATCCGGGGTAGAATAGGTCTTCAGCAACCCATGCTTGTTGTAAAGATCTGGGTTAGGATAGGTCTTCAGCAAGCTATGCTTGCCGTAAAGATCCGGGGTAGAATAGGTCTTCAGCAACCCATGAGTGTCCCCCGTGAAGATCCAGGGTAGAATAGGTCTTCAGCAACCCATGCTTGCTGTAAAGATCTGGGTTAGGATAGGTCTTCAGCAAGCTATGCTTGCCGTAAAGATCCGGGGTAGAATAGGTCTTCAGCAACCCATGAGTGTCCCCCGTGAAGATCCAGGGTAGAATAGGTCTTCAGCAACCCATGCTTGCCGTAAAGATCCGGGGTAGAATAGGTCTTCAGCAACCCATGCTTGCTGTAAAGATCCGGGGTAGAATAGGTCTTCAGCAACCCATGCTTGTTGTAAAGATCTGGGTTAGGATAGGTCTTCAGCAAGCTATGCTTGCCGTAAAGATCCGGGGTAGAATAGGTCTTCAGCAACCCATGAGTGTCCCCCGTGAAGATCCAGGGTAGAATAGGTCTTCAGCAACCCATGCTTGCTGTAAAGATCCGGGTTAGGATAGGTCTTCAGCAAGCTATGCTTGCCATAAAGATCCGGGGTAGAATAGGTCTTCAGCAACCCATGAGTGTCCCCCGTGAAGATCCAGGGTAGAATAGGTCTTCAGCAACCCATGCTTGCCGTAAAGATCCGGGGTAGAATAGGTCTTCAGCAACCCATGCTTGCTGTAAAGATCCGGGGTAGAATAGGTCTTCAGCAACCCATGCTTGTTGTAAAGATCTGGGTTAGGATAGGTCTTCAGCAAGCTATGCTTGCCGTAAAGATCCGGGGTAGAATAGGTCTTCAGCAACCCATGAGTGTCCCCCGTGAAGATCCAGGGTAGAATAGGTCTTCAGCAACCCATGCTTGCTGTAAAGATCTGGGTTAGGATAGGTCTTCAGCAAGCTATGCTTGCCGTAAAGATCCAGGGTAGAATAGGTCTTCAGCAACCCATGAGTGTCCCCCGTGAAGATCCAGGGTAGAATAGGTCTTCAACAACCCATGCTTGCTGTAAAGATCCGGGTTAGGATAGGTCTTCAGCAAGCTAACAGGCGACTAACAGGATCGGTTGGTCAGGCTCGCTGACATGGTTGATGCATGTCATCGTATCCCAATTGTCTAGATCGATGCTCATGACATCAATCACTGGATTGTCTGGTCCAGACTCGATTATTTACAGCCTGCTAATAGCTTGAATACTGGGGTATTGCTGAGCATAACGTTAAACAACAAACAAACAAACATGGTTGTGTCAAATGTCAAGGTCACTTTGAAGGTCATTCACTCATGAAATGACTTGTGAATGGTTTCAATCAGGAATTGATCAAGATCACGGTCACCAGTAACCTTATTGTCAAACTATGTAAAAGGTCAAGGTCATTCACACCATGAAAGAATTGTGAACAGTATAATTCCAGCTCTATCTGCAGTTACTTTACATTGGTAGAGTACATATCCTTTCAATATATACATTTCTGGCAGCTCATGCTTGAGATTGAAGGTCAAGGTCATTGAACAGTGAGTGATTATAAGTTGAAGGAAGAGAATTTTTTATGTCAACTTCTTTATTATGAGGAACACAAGTAGACACAATTTGTGGATAACAACTGCTTTATTTACTGTAAAGGTGATGTTTGGTATAGAGCCTTATACCGTTGTCAAACAAGGCTTGTCAGCCTACAAACTCATCACTTGTCTACTTTGTCATCCATCAACTTCTAATTAATGCCTATCAAACAATTTGAGGAACACAATGTCTCGGAGTTTATACTTTCTCCTTCATCATAAAGAAGTTGACGTCCATAAATTCTCTTCCTTATGTGTGTCTCTTCTAAATGCCATCGAAAGACTTGCTTATAAGTTTGTTGCTGACATAGGTGGGGGATGAGGCTGCTTCTTGTTTTGCTTGTGATCTGGTTTGTTTGTTTGTTTGCTGTTATATGACGGCTCTATATAAATAATCAAGTATGGACCAGACAATCCAGTGATTGACATCATGAGCATCGATACACACAATTTGGATACGATGACAGGCATTAACCAAAACAGGGAGCCTGACCACCCGATCCCATTAGTTGCCTTTTACGACAAGCATGGGTTGGTGAAGACCTATTTTAACCTGGACCTTCACAGAAGACAAGCATGGGTTGGTGAAGACCTATTCTAACCCGGACCTTCAGAGGGAGGTTTTGCTTGTCATCTGGTTTGTCCTTACACCACTGTTTCACTATCTCTCCAAAGGGAGGACAAATAACACAGCTATGACCCAATTACAGGTCGATTCAGAAGTCTTGCCGTCATTGATGCCTTGAGAGATCTGTTGACGGACTCGGACGCCAATGTGCGAGCAGTCGCAGCAGTGTCGTTGGCCAGGACGGAGGCGAATGACAGTCAGACGGTGAAGCACCTGCTGAAGATCCTCAATGACAAGGACCGTCTGGTGCGGGAGGCGGGGTGTCTGGCTCTCGGTCATCTGCAGGCGCAGACCGCGGTGAAGAAACTGCTGCACATGTGGTGAGTTGGTGGATTACCAGACTCGATGTCATGATTAGCCAACTAAGTGAGGTGAGGTGAAATGGGGTTTAACGTTGCGTAGGGCGGTCGGGCAGCCTAGTGGTTAAAGCGTTCGCTCGTCACGCCGAAGACCCGGGTTCGATTCCCGACATGGGTACAATGTGTGAAGCCCATTTCTGGTGACCCCTGCCGTGATATTGCTGGAATATTGCTAAAAGCGGTGTAAAACCATACTCACTCACTCACTTTAACAGTGCATCCAAGATTATTGCACTTATATAGCGTGTGTGTGTCCGTGGCTGCTTGTAGTAGTCCAGACTGATGTTGATTGATAGTGCTAGCCCAGTGAGATACCATGCCGCAGTTTAACATGAATGCCCCACTCAAACACTGTATACCAACTCCGAGCCAATCAGTTATTGTTAAAGCCCCTTAATGCCGAAAACTAGACAGGGTAACAACAAGTACCATCTTTTAACGTCTTTTGGTATGATATGGCCGGGGGTTTGAACCCCGAAACTTTCCACTCTCCGTGCAGATGCTCAACCACTAGACCACGGATGTATAATTTCACAATATACATGTTGAAAAATAGGATGACAGCACGAGATTTATTTATTCAGAAGATTATTCAAGAGTATCCTCATTTTCAATAGCACTCTCACTCTCCATGTTAATTCTCACACCTCCAGGAGGAACGACGTCATATCCCATGTGAGAGAAGCGGCGGCCGTGGCGCTACAACAGATCGGCGGGGACGAGGTGGACAAGGCCATGCATGTAACAACAGTCCTGGCCGACGAGATCCGACAGTTAACTGCCGAATAATGGCGAGTAGCATAACTTGTCAGGAATGTCCCAGTTCGTCACCATAGCAACCATGTCACAGAGACCCGACACAACCTTGTAAAACTTACTTGTGTTTCACAGTGATATTGTCAAATTATATTTTTACCTGAAGTCTTGATTCAAGGTTGAATTAAGGTTCTAGAAGAGAAATATGTATACATGTAGAATACTTTTACCTGCCCAGGTACCTGGGTACTTCAATAACTACCCTGGGTTTACCTTGCCCCAGGTGCCAGGGTACTCGTCTCAGCCCTAGTAAATTATCGGTATGCCTCTGCTGGCAGACTTTGCTGGAGCCAGTAATTCATTCTTATACTTAAACTTGCATCGACAGTCATGTAATTATATGCAGTGACAATTTTGAAAGCCTTTCCGAGCAGTTAGTCCAGACAGTTGATTTAGTGCCAAGTAGATCTTGTATTGATTCACTGTCTTTGTGCTGGCTGCAGCTCAGGGGAGGAGAGAAGATTCCCCGTTGTGACGGAGCTAACCCCCCCGCCCTCCCCCACCCCCCCCGCCCTCCTTCTGTTAAGTTGGTGTTACTGTGTGTCATGTTACATGAATTGGTTTCTCCTGTACAGTGAACTACGGTTATTACAAAGTCATATGACCCACAAATTCCAGTTTGTTATAACCGTAGTTCGTTTAGGCATATATACCACGCCTATACGGCAAATGGCTGGGACAAAAATAATTTCGTTATATCCGTCAGTTCGTTCTAAGCGTGTTCGTTATAAACATATTTTACTCTACCTCAAACTACGGCCAGACGGTTTGACTTCTTTGTTTACTGTGTTTTTTGTGTGAAAAATCTTTGTCATTCCGTGAAAAAATACGACAAAAATGGCATTTCAGATCTTTAATGGTTCCAAAAGTGTCTCTCATGTTTGCAGTGTTACTAATCTTGTCTCATTGTAACCTTTGTAAATTATTGTCATGCAGTTTAAACTATTGTAATTGTTATTGTTTATTAATGAAAATTGGACAAAAATCATTTTAAAAAGGACTGTTATTGCATGCAAACTGGAGGGGTACATAAACACGTGTGTACGTGGAATGATAACGGGTATTGAATAAACTAAATCCACTTTTCATCATCCTTTCATCAGTGAAGTCTGTAAACCAATTAGAAAACAGTCTCGCCTCAGGGATTTTTGTATCGATACCAAACCATGTGTTTGATTCGGAGCTTGACATTTATGAAAACAGGTTGGATGATCAGCGAATCTGGCTGGTTCTTGCCTATCACTCTCCTATCGCGTGTTTGAGAATGAGTCACCTGACCTTGTCTTCCTTATGTACAGTGTGACATTTCTTTTACATCTGAAGATGATTTCTGTGAGGCAAATGCACCTTCGACTTATATCAGAGCTGTCGAAAACAGCTAATCTGTTTACATACTCACCAAGAAAAGCAACGCAAATACCATACATGTTGGTTAATATATGAAGAATTACTCATATGCAAGAGATATCAGATTCGTTCGATGCGCAATCTGGTATGTTGTGTGAATCAACGCTCATGAACGCATTACATGTGACGTCATAGATCCAGGACTCGAGATGCACCATTTGTCTCGTGCAGGATTAGTGTGTAAAGTTTGGAAATCACATGCGGCAATATCGTGATAGGAATAAAGACACTCTGTGGTAACACTTGACGTTAAGTGGTACACATTCTATTGGTCGTCAGTATAAATTACTACCGTGAACAGCTACAGGGCATGCGTGAGCCGACGTGGCTCATTGACAAATACAAATAACGGATGGACTCCATGGCCGTCCCCTGTTCAATGTAGATGGATTGTTCTTTTGCATGCGGAATGCCTTCACTCAAAGCGTGGTGTTAACACAGATGTTTCATAAATTTATTCAGCAGTAGTAGTAGGTTGTGGAGAGAGAATCATGGTGAAGACATGTTTGTCAGTGTACCATCAAGGCTGCCAGTCAGTGTCTGTGTTGGTCGGTGTCCTGTATACATGCTGGAAATGACGTCCTGGCTTTATGGAGCATACTACGAATCAATGAAGTGGTTATTATTTTATGGAAAGTCAAAGATCATCTGACAGAAAGACTTTGCTTGTATATCTGTACTCAATCTGTTCGTAAATCTGTGTATATTATTATATATTCAATCTGAATGTCAATACGTGCATATGTGTACGTATGTCAATCTCAGTGTATGCATTGAATCGGGTGGTCAGGCTTGCTGACTTGGTTGATGCATGTCATTGTATCCCAATTGCGTGGATCGATGCTCATGATGTCAATCACTGGATTGTCTGGTCCAGACTCGATAATTTACAGACCTCCGTCATATAGCTCGAATATTGCTAATGCTGAGTATGTCGTTAAACAACAAACAAACAAAACAAAAACAGTGTATGTATGTATGTATGTATGTATGTATGTATGTATGTATGTATGTATGTATGTATGTATGTATGTATGTATGTATGTATATGTATATATAATATATATAACACAAATGTCCATACATGGAAACAGCAAAGTAACTATCATGACGAAAACTCTTCTTTATATGCGAAGAGAAGGGAAAGAAAGCTCTTCACAATAAAGAAGAGCATATATATAATTTTAACTTATCCTGCATTACTCCTTCATGCATCTACTGTTTACCTTATGACAGAAGCGAAGCTGTGCAATGGTCTGACTGAAGAAATAAAAAGTTGTCCTAATCAAGTCTGAAGCCTGACCCTTCACAGCTTGCCACATGACTGAACGGGGGTGATGATGTCATGGATCTTCATACTCCTGCTTGTCACCGCACAGACATGTTGTCTATCTTTGGTCTTCAATATTTGGCTTTAAACTTGTGGATGCGCTTTGCCATCACACAGCTGCGCTTCTGTCGAAAGTTAAGCAGTAGATGCATGAAGGAGTAATGCAGGATCAGTACAAATGTAGAAATGATCAATATGTATGTCAGTATGGTTATATTTGTACATTTTATGTATGTGAATCCGTCCATGTATGGTACGATGTGTATATTCATTACATAGCCAGTGTGTCCATGTATGCTACAGTATAATGTAGAGGCCTACATGAGTTCTTAGAATCTGATAACCATAATGAGTGTGATTGGAACGTCTCCATTAACAGCTGCAACCGATTCCACAATGCTAAAATACAGGCAGAATTTCTGTAACACTGATTAAGGCTTCCCCACCCTATACCCTATTCCAAGGAACACCTCTTTGGCCTCTGACTTTGTTAAACACCCATCCACAAAGCAGTCTTTAGCATTACAAGCATCATAAGTCAAAGTAGATGTGGAGCTACGGTTGCCTTAGCGCTAAGATGGCTCTGTGGGATGGTGCCTGTGACGCTAATTATGTTGATTATGGTATCTGTGCACTGTTTTAATGTTGTAACTAGTTGGAGAATTGAGCCAGGGACCCTCTTAATGAGTGTTTGAATCCCTGCAATGTCCAGTAATGTTGGAATGTTTTAAAGCCAAAATATATTTTGTAGCTTTTAGGAAATAGATTGAAATACTGCATATCACCGTCTATGAAACAAGATTTTGAATACCTAGAATCAGGAAGTTGGAAGAATGGCAAAGAAGGGGCTGTCAGTAGGATGCTCAGGGCAAAGTTTCCACTTTTTGATCTAGGAGAACATGTTCAAGCAAATCCAAAATATCCACAGAAAAATTGACAGTGTCAGTTACCCTTGCCTGGTCAAAGCCAAGACAGCCATCGAGTTGTTTGTCAAGGCAGGTCTTGCTTGCAATTAACTACAACAAATTACATGATCTCTTCTTCAAATCAGTGTCTTTATTGTAAATTCGATTACAAAGAATTTACAGGTTATAAAACAGACTTTGTGTAAATGTAATGACTACAGGATCCGAGTTTGTTCAAGGCATCACTATTAGAACTCCATATATCAGTGTCATACCTTTCCTTCTTTTGTCCTAGAATCTTTTGCACCAAATTTTCTTATACTGACAAGATGTTTGGAACCAAAGTAAGTGTCATAAAATTATTAAAATTATTTCCTCGTAAGTCAGGTGAGGTACGGAGCCTGGTGGTTCTCTTCTTCAAGTCTGTTTCCTCATGTTGCTGACAGTTACAGTGGGAACTCGTTCAATAAAAGGTTTGGCTTGTGTCAAATTAACCAAAGTGCCATTTTCATGACTTTTGTGTTGTCCTTCTGTGGTGTGACTAGAACAGAGCTGTTGCTGTAACGCCCAAACACTGTCATACCTTGTCAACACAGTGTTTCTTTCCTCACTATAAATACCCAGAGTTGTGACGTTCTAAAATGAAGACAGGTGAAAACATGGAACATTAGAGCAACATCAACACGCCATCAGTGCCACCATCTGTGCCGCAATCAGTGCCACCATCAGTGCCACCATCTGCTTCCATGCCAACCTAATCACCTATGGGGCTCTTCATATTTATTGCCATCCTGTTGGCTGGTGATGACAATATTCCTCCATGGTGAATAAGACATTGAGAGGATTGATGCTCATGATATCAATCACTGGATTGTCTGGTCCCGACTCAATTGTTTACAGACGGCTGTCATAGCTGGAATATTGCTGAGTGCGGTGTTAAACCAAAAAAAACAAGCAAAACCACTTTATTAAGTGCTCCCATTTGCTATTCACGTTTTGTTTTATGTGCAGAATCTCAAACATTTTGCTTGCCATTGTCAAATTAAGTTCCTTCTTAATGTGTCCTATACTGGATACTATTCATAGGGCTATTTTCATCTTGCCAAGACACTCAAAAATGATTCTCATACTATGTCAGGTGTATTTAAGAAATTAACAACGAATGGGAGTTGTTTGTTGTACAATAAAACACTGCAGGGAGACTAAACCATGAGGGACGCATATTTTAATAATGATGACTCCCTCAATAGAAATGACCTTGGCAATGTCAGACAATGTCAGACAAGTCCATTTTATGCACATGTGGGTATTTCCTGCATTGTCTCCTAATCCTAACGTCGATAACCTGTATCTTTTCTCCTAAAACTGAAGGTCATATCTCTCCACCTTTAGGACGATTCGTTCGGCCACTGCATTTATCTGCAAATCCAAGCTACATCTATGGGTAACAACTTACTAGACACTTCCCTCCCCTCCAATTTATTAATCGAATCTCCAGAAATGACGTTGTGAACATTGTTCGTTCTTCATTGTTCTTTGTGATTTATTGCCTAGCTATCTTATATACTTGAATAGAATGACATCCGATTATCCCTCTCAAAAGAGTTGTATATCACACTACTTATTTATGACAATGACGGTTCGGCCCCACTTGCACAAAAGGATCTTAGCGCTAAGATGATCGTAACTCCCATACTTGAACATAAGTTTACGATAGTTGTAGCACTAAGATCGCTTAGTGAAAGTGGGCCTTGGTCAGTGTTTTTTCCAAGGTGATATGACAAGATACAGGAGCCAAACTGAGACATTGAACAATCATGTTAGGATGGATTGGAGTAAATTTTAAGAAA